GCACCCTCCTCCCCTGCTTCTTGGAGACAGATCCTCCTAGCGGCTCACCGCTGAGTCCTGGCCACGGCCAGTCACTTTCCCTCTCCTCCTCTCCCGTAGCTCCTGTAAAGCGTGGTTTGGGGAATGCATTGTGTCGCTGGCCCTCAAATTCTGTTTCTCTGGAATTCTGGCCCCGGGCTGCAGTTCATGCTGTGGCTTCTTCTGCGTGAACTTCTCTGACTCCTGCTCCAAGGACCTTCCTCCTCCTTCCCTGAACACCCAGCTCTGCCCGGTCCCTCCCACAGCCAGCCGCCCTGGGACTTCCTCCCCTGTGGACAGAACCAGACCACTTCCCCATCCTATTTTTCATTTTAAAACATTTCTTTTTTACAGCAAACATTTCTGAATGTTCATTGTAGAAAATTCAGAAAATATAAGTCAACTAGAAGAGAAAATTTAAAATCCCGGAACTGCTCCCATAAGATAGAACTGCTGTCAACACTTGGGTTTTTTATTTCTCTTTTTTTTAGACCCTTGTACATAGGCCAATGAAATTTCGTACCATATCATTTAGCATCTTGCTTTTCCACTTAATAAGATATAATGAGCATCTTTTTTGCCTATCAGTAAACATTTGAAAACACAATTTTTAATATGTTTACTATTTTACATCTCATACATTTTTGTTAGCCCTTGCATAATTATTTCTAAATGGATAAATACCTATCCCGTCAAGCCCACCAAACGACCCAACTCGAGTGAGCTGAACTAGTCAGGGAGCTGCAGGAATGTGAGCGGCGATTGTTCATTATGTGAGTTTTATCTCCCCGAGTGGACTGCTCTTCTGTATTGTCGCAAAATTGTTAAACACTTTTCCCTTTCGCCAAGTTTTGCACGGTGGTAGGCAAAATAAGCTGTCTGGCTGTAATCTTCAAAAACCCCTGTATGTATTTATAAATTCCAGCTTCTTTCCTGGGGATTTTGTAGGGGCTGTGGCATAAGGAAGTTATTTGAAATATTATGAGCACAGAGATGTTCAGTGTGGCATGATTTTGCATTAGCCCCAAACTAGGAATCACCAAAATGTCTAGTGGTCCAGGAGGATGATAAAGTCCACGATGATGAGTCGATGTGTCAGCTGCGGAAAACGATGTTTACGAAGCCTTTGTGATAAGATTGAATGTTTGTGTCATGATCACAGCAAGAAACAAAGAGTTGTGGGAGAAAAAGGGTGGAAAGACACCAAAATGGGAATGGTGGTTAGGGATGTTTTCCTGCTCTCTGTCTGCTTTCCTGCCGTGAGCCTGTGAACCCGTGATCCATTAAAATACAAAGAGGTGGAGAGACAGGTATCAGCTTTAGTTTTTAATCATCTGCAAAGATGCTTTAGTCTTTCTGGTGTTGCTATGACACAATACCTAAAGTGAATACTTTATGAAGAAAAGAGGTTTATTGGGCTCACAGTTGTGGAGGTTCAGGGGCATGGTGCTGGCATCAGATTCTGGTGAAGGCCTCTGGGGAGAGACCTTGCTGGTCTGTGGTGGACAGACAGAAAGAGGAAGTGAGTGTGTGCAGGAGAGAGAGGTTGCACCGAGAGAGGAAGCAAGGGATCGAGCCAGCCAAGAAGACGGAAGTGGCTTCGTGACAGCCCTCTCTCGGCAGCCAGGCAGGTCCCAGGACAAACCCACCCCACAAGACGGGTATCGGGCCTCCCAAGGGTGCTGCCCTCCATGACCTAATCACCTGCCCCCGGGGCCTCCCGTAGGCTCCACCCCCTTTCAACACCGTGGCATAGGGCCCGGCCCCCAGCCCATGAGCCTTTGGGGACACCCTGGGTCCAAACCATAGCAGAGAATACGGCAGAGCTGAGCCCGACATTGGGGTCGTTTCCACTTTTTGGCTAGGATAAATATTGCGGCTGTGAACATTGATTTCTGTGTGGACCTATGTTTTTATTTTGTCAAGGGTCCCTGAGATCACTCCCAGGTTTAGCAATTCACTCGGAGGACTTGAGGACTCGACACAGCCCCACTCACAGCTGGGATTTGCTACCGTGAAAGAACACACCACAAAATGAGCCAAAGAGAATGTGCCTGAGGGGCTGGGGTTGTGGCTCAGTGGTAGAGCGCTCGCCTAGCACGTGCAAGGCCCTGGGTTCGATTCTGAGCACCGCATAAAAATAAATAAATAAAAATAAAGGTATTAAAAAAAAAAAAGAAAGAAAATGTGCATGAGCGGATGTCTAGAAGAAACCAGGTGCGGGTTCCAAGAGTCCCTTCCCAGGGACGGCACACAGCGGGCACTTAATCCCTGCAGCATGAAGTCGTGACCCCGTGGCCGGTGTTGTCTACGAGGCAAGCTCTTCAGAGACTCATTGCTCGGGGCTTTTGCTGGGGGCTGGTGCCGTAGGCACCCTCTGCCTGAGGTGCACTGAAATCCCAGGCTCCCGCCAGGAAAGCAGATGCCCTGCATTAGCCCCGAGGTCTGTGCAGCCCTTATCAACTAGATGATGGTGGGAGCGCTGGCGGGATCCACTTTCCCAGGCTCCCCAGGCCCAGCCTTGCAGGCAGCCCTTTCTGAGCCACATCTCTCCGACTTGCTGCGTCGTCGACTCTTCCCCGTGCAGGTATACATTAGGATCGGCGTTGCCAGGTTCTCTGGTGACACCACATTTAACATTCCCTCCCCCCCTCCTAGTGGCTGCAGCGTTTTTGTTCTCCACTGGCTATTTATACAGGTCCCCGTGGTCCCACGTCCTGGCCGGCACCGTGGCTCGGCCACCTTTCTGAGTGTAACCATTCTAGCAGGTCTAATAGGTCTTTAAGTCAGCAATCTGCAGGCGTTTAGAACAAAAAAATAATGATTCATAGAAGCCAAAATGATTTCTCTGAGAACAATCATGCTCGTCCAACCCCTTATTTTCTTTCTTTCTTTCTTTTTTTTTTTTTTTAAGGCAATTTATTCCTTCTGTACGAGCTGTACTAGGGCAGGGTGTTTTTCTGTTCCAGCCTCGTCTTTCACAATATCTTCATGTACAAAAATGGAGAGCCGGGGGCTGCGCTGATCACTTGGCGGCTTCCTCGTCTGCAGATGGGTGACAGGCAGCTCCCGGAGCCGGGAGCGAGGCTCTTCTGCTGCCTCCTGGCTCCGTCCTCAGCCAGCTACAAAAGCCTCTGCCCAAAACCTGGGGAGACACACGTGGCAGCCCGTCGGCTCTGCCAGTGACTCAAAGTAGGAAGACGCACATGTGTTGAGCAGTGAGAGCTGGCTCCAGAAAGATCCTGGCAGCCCCGGTTGACAGGCAGATTCCAACAAGATGGATGGACTGGGGACAAATGGCTAGTCCGTGCCTGCAGGATCTGGTCCAGTGGTGACCCGGGCAAGCTCACACTTGGATGTCTGGTCCTTACCAAAAGCAGATTCAGGCTGATTAAGGAAGCATCCTGTGAGACTCTAGTGGCTTGGGCTGAGGCACCCCTGAACCTGCACCTGCCCCCTCCTGAGCCTGTCTGGCTGTCCAGCCTCTGCTCTCCGACTTCTCTCTCACCCGCTGGTGTCCTACCTGTGTCGTTCACGGTCTGCACCGAGTCTCTGGCCGCAAGTGGAGCTCCAGAGCCAGCGGTCTCGTCCCTTCTTATATTCAGTTGGCAAATATTTTAATGAGCACCTTCTATGAGCCGGCGGCTGGGTGAGTGGTAGGGTGCCCAGCGGTGAATACTGGCCAGGGATAAGGGACTGTGCGGCAGGACTGTGGGTGGGAGTGTGACTTGGGCGTGTGTCTGGGAACAGGATCTCCCTGTAGACGTGCCCTGCAGTGAGACCTGAAGGAAGAGGAGCGGGTGGCAGCGGGGAAGAGAGCAGAAGCCGGGAGAGTGACCCCGTGGCTTCAGCCAGGGACCAGGACCTGGCAGCGCTTGGTGCAGGTGTGTTCGCAGGAGGGAGGAAGGCTACTGGCTGGAGGGGAGGGGCTGTCTGTCCCCTGCTCATCCAGCACCTGGGTGGAGCCCCCCGTGGCCCAGCTGGGGCGAGGCTTGTGCGCCGGGGGCCTGTGTGGGACGCCTTTGGAATCCAGCCCCGGAGGCTGGTGGGATGGGCCCTGCCTTCTCTCCACTCCGTGGAGGTGGGTGACAGGGAGAATGGGACGCGTTCCAAACACCTCCACATCCCTGCAGTGACGGTGCCTTTG